AAAGTGAGTATCTTCCCCCTTTTTCCTGGACATTCATGGTTCCTCCTACTCTGCAGGGCAATTAGGATAAGATTCCATTCTTTCTCTCTTCCTTTTCAGGGAGAATCAGGAGAAAAAGGGCCACCTGGTAATCCTGTAAGTACCTGCAGTCTTGCTTCCTCCACCCTCCTACCCACACTTGGCCACCTTCAGATTTTTGCCCTATCTGGCTACAGAGCCAAAAGTTAGGAGTTTGAATCCTTACTGGGGGGGTGGCATGGATGATCAGGAGGGTCTCTTCCAGCTCTGCAATTCTGATAATGATGATGAAGTGAGGATTTGTAACCTAGAGCCTAGTCTAAATCTAGAAATCTATAGATTCCTGGGAGGTGCAGTGTTGCAGGACAAACATAGTTCTACTTTAGAGAAAAAGATGGCTTATCTGAACAAAAAAAGGGGGGGGAGAAAAGAATCAATTTTAAACACAACAGTTGCAGAGAAGCAAAGAAGCTACCTGCAACATAAACATGACGGAATCATGTCCGGAACACAAATCTTGTTGCAAGTACACATCACGTTGAGAATATAACAATTTTATGTTATGGAAATTGGAGCTTTATCACAATAGCTATGGGGATGAATTTCCAGCAAAGTTCTCTTCCAAACTCTTTCTCAAGGACGCAGGCACAAAGCCGAGGTCGGTAAATGGCGGGCTGGTAAATCAAAAGTCTAATGGCAAAAATGCCAAACTGAGAATATGGCGGGGAGAATTTATTTCCAACGGCTTTGGAAACAGAACATCGCTTTTAATTAAAATCATCAGACCCTTTATGTAATGTTTCTTTTGTGGTCTGTACTCTCCCTGAAAGCTTTGTTTTGTGTTATGTTACCTTCATTTTCTGTATCTTCAGGAACATAACATTGTTATACGGTTGTGATTATGTGTATGAGTAAGAAGACTTGTGTTGAATATACATTTCTACCCCATTTATGTGGCACGGAGTTGCTTTCTGGTTGGTTCTTTGCAATGATTGGCTGAAATCCCTTTGGTGCTTGCATCAAATCTGCTGCTCTTGATGTGGCTAATTGATGAGGTGCTGGTTGTACAACGAGGAGCAATGCCATACAAACTAACACCTCCCTGTTAGTTTCCGTACTAGATTCAAGATGCTGCTTTGTGACATACCAGGCCCCCACCCTCCAGATTTTCAGGAAACTGGTGAAAGCAGAGCTTTATGGAGAGGCTTTTAACACCAGACTCCTCCGAGGTTAATTCATGACCTGTACTCTATGCGCTATGTTACATGTCACCGTACGGTTTGCCGATTTTTGATTTAGTTACGTTTTGATTCTATTTGTTGCGGTAGGTTGGTGGGTGCTAGTCTTCTGAAATGTTTGTGCCTCTTGTGTAAACCGGCCAGAGTAGCGGCTTTCGCCAAGTCGAGTGGTGTAGAAATCTCATAAATAAATAATAAAATCAGTTAGATACAATTAAGTAAGTTAAAGAAACTTTAGGTGAACATCAACAGGATTCTGGCTGTTGTGCTTCCAGTAAACTTGCTCTTCGTAACCATTCTTATTCTCTTTAACACTCACCAGAGGGGAAAGCAGGACCCAGAACTCAGTCGAGCTGAAACGGGGGCTGATGCCAGCGATAAGGGTCACAGAGAACATGCTAAGATCCACTCACCCTAATAGGTCCCATGGTTGACCCTCAGATCCTGGAGGGCAGCTTCCATGTTGTTGCTGCCTGTTTATGTGCCTTCCATCATTTTATAAAGGTCTCAAAAACCAAACACAGAACCCAGAGATACTATCTGCCCTCCTCGTCTCCTAGTGGTAGGGTAGGAACCAGTGAATTTCCAGAAGCACCCAGGAGAGTGTGGAGCCACCCAGATAAGGGTGCCACAAAGAATATTTGATCCAGAGATTCCCAGAATCTGAAACAAACTTTATCACGGAGGATCTGTTCCACCCAGTGAAAGGTACAGGAATTACATCCAGTGTTCCAAACCTCAGTAGAATTCTGGCTTTTGAAGTCATCATAAACATTTTGAAAATCGATAAAAACGCTTTGCCCAAACTTCTCCAAATCTGGCACAAAGCAAGGGCAGATTGTCTTCTACCTCCGTGCCAGATTCGGTGCTGATCCAAACTTCAGTTTCAAAGTGATCAGTTTTTAGGCGTTGGGCGACCCTCTTTTTAGAATTGCCTTGTAGAATGTGGATGAGCTGTGCTGCACAATGACATCACTGCACTCTTGTGCAGTGATAAGAATGTTTTATCAGACAAACTATTAACATGGCAAGGCTTCAAGACAATTGCAGAGGGAAGAATCCTCGGCTGAGACATTTGTGGTCTTCTTGCAGGATATTTGCCGTGCCCTTCAGTTGTCCTTCTGCTAGTATCAGGGACCCTTCTGCCCTTCCCAGGCTGCTCCTTGCAGAATTCACGCCGTGGGCCGCTGTCGATCCAAACAGATCGATCCTTTCTCTTGTCTGACATTTGCTTGTGCTGAGGTTTGAAAGAAGCCAGTATTTGATTTGTGAAGAATCAAATAATTTTATTTTGATGTTGTCAGAGCTGTGGATTAAGGCCAACATGATGACACACTGAATTGAACGTATTAGAATGTTTTTCTTTAGAAAGACACAGACCGTGTGGTAAGTCATTGATGGCCACCCAAAGGGACACATTTTTCCAGAACCTGGGTTTCTTGTGTGTGTGTCCCTTTTTTTTCCTGGTGCTATGATCCTCTCTTTCACCTCCACAGGGACCACCAGGACCACGTGGCCCCTCCGGAAATCCTGGAGAGCGAGGTGCCAAAGTAAGTATTCACATAAGGATTGTGGGAGTGAGGTCCTGGGGAACGCATCTCACCTCCTACAGGGAGGTGTTTAGTTTAAATTGTGGAGTTAACTGAAAGTCCTCCATGTGTGGTTGGATAGCTCAGTGGCTTAGGCAGATGCTTATGGAGCCAGAAGTTGGGAGTTCGATTCCCCCACTGGGCCTCCTTGGCAGGGGCTGGACTAGATGATCCAGAGAGGGTCCCTTCCAGCTCTGCAGTTCAAAATTTCAAAAGTTAATGAGATTTAATTCAAATTCAACCTTCCACAAGATACTAATACTGGTTTCCAGTGGATTGTATTTGATAAATGCAGAATAAGATGGACTCTCTTTTTCCCTACATTCTCTTGTGTCATTTCTAACACCAGTAATTTACTCCCAAGTGAATTTGAATAGTAAAGCACTTTCCTCCCATACACTTTACATAGTGTCATTTCTAACACCAGTAGTTTACTCCCAAGTGAATTTGAGTAGCAAAGCACTTTCCTCCCATACACTTTACATAATGCCATCAATTCTCAGTGATGACAGAACCACCGGTCCATACCAATAGCAATGGTTCCATATTCCTTTTCACTATAATCACAACTATACACTTCCAATAAGCCAGCTCCAGGAGAGTAAAATCCTGGAGAGCTGATTGTCTTTGCTCTAGTAGGAGCATTTCTTGACCCCTGCAATTTGCAAATTAGCTTCCTTTCCTTTGTGATGGATCTTCAGGGCATAAACACATTTCTTCCTTGGTAAATCTGACTTTTTCAAGCCAGAGAGAGGCATTATAGACACCCCGTGATTAGAAAAGGGAAATCCTTAACTAATGAAAGCATCTGCGTTTTCCAGCATGAGCTTCTCTCACCTCCAGGAGTATATGCAGATCAGCTTGCTTTTATTTGGTGGTGGGTTTTTAACAGATTTAAGTTAGAGATTACTTTGAAATATGATTTCACAAGACTGCCATGGTGACCTGCCTGTAATGTTAATGCAGACTCAGCTCCCATTACTGGGTATTTCTAGCATCTGTTTCTGGCCTCTGACATGAAATGCTGGCTCAGTCATGTGTCTTGAACACTAACGTCATTCCAGCTCACATGACAGGTTATTGCGGTAGTTTGGCACTGCTGGAGGAGTCTGGAAGCTACTAGCTTTGTTAAAGATGCGTCATGGCCCATGCTTTCTGCCCCCAAATGCCCCATAAATTCTGGAGAACAGCTGTTCAGGACAGTATTTCTCACCCTTCGGTAACCGGTGCCCAGTTTTTTGAGAAACATCAATATGACATAAATGCCAAGCCGCTCTTAAACCTGCCTTTGCCGTTATTTTGTCAGAAATACGCAACTGAGTGACTCCGAACAAATCAAAGCATTTATGAAGTCAGAAAAATCCCTACGCCACCGCATATCACAGAACCTGCAGTAAGCTGCATGCTAAGTAAGCAGGAGAGATAATTAGGCACCCCACTGTTTTCAAAATAAAAATCATACGTTATTAGGATGGGGTTGGTTGGCTTCAGAGTCACACCTATGACTCTGAAATCTTGGTATGCAACGGCCGGCCCCTCTGCTGGAATCACCTAAGCAGGGATGGCATGATGCTCTCTGCTGGCTCTTAGTCTTTGTTCACCTTTTGGTGCTCGCGATGATTAATATACACACAGAACTGCTGGATAGCTCAGTGGCTGAGGTCTCTGGCTGTGGAGCCGGAGGTTGGGAGTTTAATTCCAACCCCCCCGGGCCTCTTTGAGAGGGGATGATCTAGAGCAGTGGTGTCAAACTGTGGCCCTCCAGATGAACCCCCGGGCCTCTTTGAGAGGGGATGATCTAGAGGGTCCCTTCCAGTTCTGCCGTTCCAAGGTTAAGATGACCACCTTCTCCCATGAACGATGGCCAGAATCCTGTTGCTGATTTACACCTGTGTAAGGGAGATGGCTGAAGTCTCAGCTACAAGCGGCTCATCAAGGAAGGACCGTGGGTTGCATTCTTGGGCCGGAGATGGAGCGGACCCCTAGGAACAGAATTAGCAACTTGTGGAAGAGCGCAGTTTGCTGCCAGAACTTGAAGCAGTTTTCTTTATGCAGCCATAAATCAGGAATGGGATTCTGCCTAACATCAAGCTATTTATTTCCAGTGGTGCGTTGGTGTGGAATATCCCGCATGAAGGGGGGGTTGCTAATACCCACTTTTGGTGCTATTCCAACAACATGCAAACACCTTCCCCCCCCCACACACACGCACCATTTAATGTGTCTTAGCAATAAGCTATTAATACTCTCAGAGGCCTGTGCTTTTAGGCCGTATTATACTTTTATTGCTTCTTTTATGGTTATTGCGCTTTAAATTGGTTTATTTCCTCGTCGTCAGCCCCTCTGAGGACTCTCTTGTAGGGCAGCCCATAAATATCCTCAATTCCAAAAGAGAAATAAACACTGTTAAATAAATAAATGGCAAGCAGTTCCCAAAATTGAAACACACCCATTGGAGGCTACGGATAAGTGTCTTTATGTCGGTAGAAGGTTTCTGAATATCATTGAGGCAGAACAACGGAAGCTTACTTGACCCAGGTTCTCCTCTTTAATGGATGAGTTGCATTTGTGATAACACCGCATGTTGTTCAGTTCTGTACTGGCTTCTTTCCTTTTAAAGGAGACCGTGTGATGCACGAGTGCAGATAAAAATACAGAGGAGACGTGCAAGGATGATTAGGGGTTCCTTTGGCAAAACCCTGCAGAGCGGCTTTTGTGAATGAGCCCCGCCAGCGTGTCACACCAATGATTGTAAAAGTGAAAATAGCTGAGAAAATTGACCCCACCCCTGCAGAGAGATTGGATGGCCTCGAATCAGGATGAAGTCTGAAGCTGAAATATCCATGTTCAATGGTCTCAAGTGTAGCTCCAGCATCTTCTCAGCATGGGTGTAACTAAGAACTATCTTTTCTGTGTAGGGCTCCTCAGGAGTTAAAGGTGCAACAGGCGCTCCCGGGGCCCCGGGGGCCAGCATCCCTGGTCTAACGGTAAGTGCAGTATCCTCATTTTAACCATGGCCATTATTTTTTGGCTCCGGGACCTTTAGGGCCTCACTATTGACTTTGGGCTGTTTTCTAATACCTGAACTATCTTGATCATCTTCCTTAGGGCCCGGAAGGGAAGCAGGGTCCCCCAGGAACTCCTGGTTCCAGTGGTGTAAAGGTAGGCAACTTGGATTGCTTCAAAGCAAGTAGTATTTGGAAACTGACAGGATCCTATGCATTCACCTGATTGTACCTGCAAAACACCGGGGGGGGGGCAAGGTAAATCCAATTGTATACAGAAACCATGGTACTGGAATCCTCAAGGCAGGAGGGAAAATAGCCGTGCCAGAGAACACCTTGAATAGCCATTTCCTCCATAAAAACTGTGATCAGGATCCTATTGAGGTTCTACGTCGGCATAAGTGTAGTTGTGTAAATTGCAAGCACAAGACCTGACTTGGAGTTCTGGCGCAACTACGCAGCAGGATTTTGGCTCTTGTTGGGTACAATACACCCTTGACCCATCTTGGCAAACAAGTGAATGCTTAACTGACACTATGGCCTACTTTAGCACCTTATGAAGTGGGGAATCCCCAAAATTGTGACGCACCAGAAAAGGTTTCGACACCCCCCCCAAGGATGTGTGAGCCTGTTGTTTCCACCTCAGAGGAAAGGCTATGACAAGAGCGATGAAGGTTAGAGAGATCATTGTATGGATTGGGACCTGCTTTCTCATTTGGAAACAGAGACTGTGTTTCTTCCTAGATTTGAGAGGGACTTGTTGGAAAGGTAAAGGGCACGGGAATAGTGACAAGCAGCATCTCGAAGGCCACCACATGGTGCCAAAAGACCCACCGGATTTGGGGCATGTTTCTTGTTTAGCAACCTCAGAGGTGATGAGCAGCCGACATAAAAGCATTAACTAAGGGCATCTCCAACTCTCTTGGGAAGGCCTTTGACTGTTGAAAGCTCGGGCTCACTGCATATGCTGTCCCCATAGGGCTGTTTTGTGGCCAGGAGTTTTGGTTTTTTTTAACTGATTCCAGAATGTGACTCAAGCTGTCCGAACAATACAGCCAGCAGTGGCTGGTGAGCCCGGTCTCAAGAGTCAGGTGAATCTTCTCTGGGCTTAGTGTGCTCATGACAAGAGCTGTCCGGGGTGCTGAATTGTGTTCCTGAAATCCAGGTGTTGGTGCAATGTTGAGTCAAAGAACTATCCATCTATAATATTAGATGCTGAACTCCCTCTCCTTTGTTTTAGGAGAGGGATCAGCACCTTGGAGAGCTCCAGGAAAGCTTGGATGAATGAATGAATGAATGAATGAATGAATGAATGTACATTCAGAACAACTGTAGTTCCCTATAAACAGCAGGAGTAGGAAACCCTTTCTCTCTCAAGGCCCATGCTACCTTAGGGAATCCTTTTGAAATTCCTAAGGTATGGATGGATGGATGGATGGATGGATACATGCTACCTTAGGGAATCCTTTTGGAATTCCTAAGAGATGGACGGACGGACGGACGGACGGATGGATGGATGGATGGATGGATGGATGGATGGATGGATGGATGGATGGATGGATGGATGGATGGATGGATGGATGGATGGATGGATGGATGGATGGATGGATGGATGGATGGATGGATGGATGGATGGATGGATGGATGGATGGATGGATGGATGGATGGATGGATGGACGGATGGACACATAGATAGACAGACAGACAGACAGACAGACTGACTGACTGACTGACTGACTCAAACCTGGCCACTGTACAATGGATGAGGCTACCCTCTGAGTCTCCCTAACCTGGCTACTGTAAAATGGATGAGGCTACCCTCTGAGTCTCCCTCTCCCTCTGTTATTGCAATATCCTCATGTTTTCATTTCATACACACACACACACACACACACACACACACACGACTCCAGAAAGCGATTTCTACCAGTATGCAGCGATTTCCACCAGTATGCAATTTAATTTTACTTTATTTTATGTTTCCTTTTTACTTATATGTGCTGTTTTAGTTGATAGAAAGCGATTTCTACCAGTATGCAATTTAATTTAATTTAATTTTACTTTACTTTATTTTATGTTTCTTTTTTACTTATATGTGCTGTTTTAGTTGATTGTAAACTGCCCAGAGTAGTGCATCCCGCAGGATTCCGGCAGGAGTGGGATGTCGGAAGACAAGGAGACAGGAATGAGAGGAGGAGGAGGACATGGAACTTTGTGGGTCAGCCCTGCTGGGCTTCCTACCTGGATTGGTGCTCATGGCCAAAACTATGCTTCACAATCACCTTGTCTTCTATAGAGTTGTTTTGGCCCACGGTGTGTTTCACATGTAACTGACTTGGCTTTCTCTTCCCTTCTCTTTTCTCCAGGGTGAAAAGGGAGCCAGAGGTGAGAAGGTGAGTTGGAAATCCTCTTCCAAATTAGATACTTGTCTTGCTGGTCCCTGGATGGAGTCTTCCTGGTTCTTCTGTTCTGGGTATGAAGTTCACAGTTGGGGAGGAACTGCAGTGGGGTTGGAACCTGAAAATTCCTGGGATTCTTCGGAGAAGTGCTGTTGTCATGGAGACAATGATCATCATGTGCCGTTGAGCCAATTCTGGGTTATGGTGACCCTTTTCAAGGTTGTCTACATAGAGAGCCCTCAGAAGTGGCTTCCCATTTCCTTCTTCTGGAGGTAGCCGTGTGACTGTGCAGCTTGTCCAAGGCTCTTCCCCCAAGAGGCAGAGTGGGGAATCAAACTCCCAACCTCTGGCTCCGCAGCCAGATGCCTAGCCCACTGGGCTATCCAGCCAGCCAGTGGTCATGGAGAGAGCGAGCCTTAACTGAATTCCCAACGTCTAGCTCTGCAGCCATTGACCCAGCTTAAATAGTTCAGTGAGTTAGAGATCTGTCTGTGGAGTTAGCATTTGGGAGTTTGATACCCCATTGGGTCTCCTGGGAGAAGAACCAGCCTGGGGGGGGTGCCTCGGGCAAGCTGCAGTCCCACAGCTACCTCCAGAAGAAGGACATGGGAAACCACTTCTGAGTCATCTGTACCTAGAAACCGCAAGAAAGGGTCACCATAAATCAGGGCTGTTCATACTTCACCCCTTTATGCTGCGTGGTCCCTTGGGCTGGGAGGTGACCCTGCCCCATCCTTTGGTGCCATCTGGAGAAGGTGATTCTTCCATGCTTTCCCTTGATAGCCAAGGACTGTCCAAGATCTCTGCATCTCTCTGCTCTTTGGGGAGGCTCTGGAACCTTCTCTGAAGAGGATCCCTCCAGTGGTGCCGTGATACTCCTGCATCTCACTTCTTCAGGAGCGCCTGATGCTCCAGCCACTTACGCTTTGCTCCTCTCTTTGACTCCTCAGGGGGATTCTGGCGAATGCACTTGCCAGCCTGGCTCTCGTGTGGACTCCGGCTTTGTCGGCCTGCCGGTAAGCGCGGCTGGGCGCCCTCTTTCCGCCCTCAAGGTGCTGGGCCCTCGCTGCCAGGCTGGATGATGGCTCAAGCAGCCCATGCCCCCCACCCCAATCCTCTCCGCTCAAGCGCTGGCCACCTTTGCTGCTCCAGAGGCTAAAACGTACATGCGTCCTGCTTGGCCTGTGCTAAACCCTGTCCCCTTTTGGACCCGCAGGGTGCCCCAGGACTGTGGATCGGGACCTCCCTGCAGCCTCAGCCGGGCCCTCAGGTGTGTGTGTGTGTTGAATGTGCATGCTTGCTCCCTGTGTGCGGCAACCTTATCTCTGGTGCCCCCCAACCCCATGGGCTCACCCCACCCCAAGGGTTTCTTAACAACTTTTCCTCCTTTTTCCTTTCTTTGCGGTGTTGCAGGGACCACCAGGTGCTCCAGGACCTCCGGGACCTCCAGGAGCCCCTGGGAGGCAGGTAAGTGGAAGGAGCATGAACCAACGGTTTGGTGGCTTGTCCCCATCTCTAATCCTCTCTGGACTTTGGAGGTTCCAGGGACACTTCACAGCTGTAGCTGTCCCCTTTAATCCAGAACAGATGCTGAGCTTGAAACCTCCGAATTCTGATCCCACAACTCTCATTCTGTTGTCTACCCAAAGCAAAGTGTAAATAGTAGTTGGGTTCAGGCAGGCAGATCTCCTTTCAGTCTTGGATCTGAGTGCTCAAACTTTACATAGTGACCAGAGCATTCTTCTTAGGAACCTCCTTTCCAGCTGCATCCTTGCAGAAATGAAAATCTCTGGCCAGAATCCAGATGTCATTTTAACTGGCAGCAATTCACCACTGAAAACTGGCAGCAATTCACCACTGAAAATTGCACCAGGAAATGCAACCCATGTCATTTTAACTAGCACCAGTTCACCACTGAAAATTGCACCAGGAAATGCAACCCATGTCTTCTTAACTAGCAGCAATTCACCACTGAAAATCACACCAGGAAATGCAACCCATGTCTTTCTTAACTAGCAGCAATTCACCACTGGAAATTGCACCAGGAAGTGCAACCCATGTCTTTCTTAACTAGCAGCAATTCACCACTGGAAATCGCACCAGGAAATACGACTCATGTCTTCTTAACTAGCAGCAATTCCCCACTTAAATTCAGCTTATACCAGAACACATAAGCAATAGGATTCTGGTCACTGCTAAAAGGCTTTAGGAAGGAGGGGGCGACACAGTGGAGTTGTCATGCTGCAGTGGTCATCTTGGTGTTGCACTTTGCTTCATATAATCCAATGTAAGTGACAATTCTTTGCTCATTGGTGATATAATATCTTACCTCTGGTGAGCAGCAAGATTCCTCAAGGAGCCACAGTTGATAGCTATGCTCCCTGCACACAGACAGACCCACTAATCTAGGCCAATTCTTCCTCCTCTCTCCCGCCCTAAGCCCATGATAGCAACAGAGAACGGTTTGGACTACCTCTCCAGTAGAAGCCAAGGAGGAGAATGCCTTTCCATCCTTGAATCCTTTGGCATGTTAAAATGCCACCTAGATTTTAACCAACACAGATGGATGGGTGGTCAGGTGGACAGGCAGGAATGAGCACACGGACAAACAACACACACACATGCGCCAAAGCAGCAAGACCAAAAGCAGTGGTTTTTAGAGAAGTTGCAGATGCAGTGCGCGAGATGTAGGTCTCTGGGCCAGATTCTGATCCCAGCTGCAGAGAAATCCTCCTCCTCTCCCTCCCTCCCACCCACCTGGCGCCAAAGCACATGGAGGAGAGAGAAACCAGTTACTGAGCAGGAGGGACACCTCCCTTGGCAAAGGTGTCGTGGCAAAAAAAAAATGCCATCAAATGAGGAGCACCTTGGTCACCTCCCGGTCATTTCTGGGAATGGCTAATCTCAGAGCCACTCCTGGCAAACATTGTTGGGAAGAAAACATGGTAAAAAAGCAGGAAAGATGGAGCTCTTTTGGCCGGGAGATGCTGCATCTCCCTCCGTTGAGGCCCCAACCCCTTGTTTCTGCCCTTTCCTCTCCCACCTTGCTTACTTACCTGCTGCTCTACCAGCAACAAGTGGGAAGAGCGCTCCCTCTTTTCTTCAGAGTTTGGTCTGTTGTTCTTCCACTAGGGGAGGTGTTAGTCACCCCTGGGAAGTGTAGTACAGTAGGACCCCCGTATCCATGGGGCATCAGTTCCAAATACTGAAAAACACAGATTATAGTGGGCACCCTTTAATAGTGAATGCTATACGTAGTATGGTCTCTGGCTCCTTCTAGTAGCCTGTTTTGAGAATGATATCATGGAAATGAATTTATCTAGTCAACGCTATGCGTAGCATGGTCTATGGCTCCATCTAATGGCCAGTTTTGGTAACATATTTAGAAATATATATTTCTAGATTTTTTTCCTTTTAATATTTTTAATATTTTCAGACCATGGCTAGGTGAATCAGCAGATACCGATCCTGTGGATATGGGGGTCCTACTCTAAACTGCACTCACCATGAGGGAGATGGTGTCTCCCAGTGGCTACTGAGTGTAGCTGTGGGCAGCTGGATTCCCTTTAAGATCATAAAGATCACTTCGGAAGATGACCATCAAGGAGGACTTATGTATTCAAAGTTTCTCCTTGCCTTTAGGGCATCCCAGGACACAATGGTTTGCCAGGACTGCCTGGGCCGGCAGGAGATTGGGTAGGTACAGGACTGCCATATCCACCTTTCCTTGCCCTCACCCAGGCCTGTGCTTCACACTGTCACCCTTTGCTGATTTGTTCTCTGATTCTCTTCCTTCTTCCTGCACACGTGCCCTCCAGGAAGAGGACAGAAGGGGTCCAAGCTAGAAGCCATGTTGTTCTGAGAACAAGTCACTCCAAGGAGGCAGGAGGCAACCTATTAGTTATTCACACTGCTTTTTCCAAACTCTAGAAACCCATGTCTCCACTTTGGGGTGTGTGTATATGTGTGGTTGTTTTGTTGTGGTAGTTGTTTTTCTTTAAAGGAAAGAAGAAAAATGACTTCTCTAGTTCATTATTGCCTTCTCTTTTTCTCCCTCCTCATTACAGGGTCCACTGGCAGCTGAGAGCATCGATGTCCTCAAGGTGAGACCAAGGGAATCTGTAGATGGTTGGCTGGTTGGCTAGTTGGTAGGCTGGTTGACTGACTGGCTGGCTGGCTGGTTAGTTGGCTGGTTGGTTGGCTGGCTGGTTGGTTGGTTGGTTGGCTGGTTGGTTGGCTGGTTGGCT